GCGCATGAAACGTACCTCATCCACTACCTGCCATGCGTCGGGAGAGGGATTAGCGCGAGAGCCAGCAATGCATCTGATGCAGCGATGATTTTCAGAAGATCCACGAGTCCAAAATCAGATGTGCGGTAAGCGAGACCGTGAAAGTCGAGACAGGGTTCGATTTTCAAACCCAGGCTTTAGTTAGAGTATGGAGGTTGGCTAGATCTGTCCACTTTGTGACCAATCTGGTGTCCTATGGCTTGCGCGCTGTTCTACAGGAGTGCCAGTGGAAGAGTGTCGAGGAAAGGGACCTGGGCGCAGCGCCCGCAAATGAGGGGACAGAGTGTGCAAACGCCAACGCATGATAGTATGGTATTGTAGACCTGAAAGAACTGGTAGGCGATGTGCTGACAATGTGCACTTGGATGTCCATTTCTTCCCGCTACTGCCATGGTGAACCATTGTCTCATCTCCCTTTGGCTTTGGCCTCTTCTTGTGTTCTGGGTCACCTCCTCACATGCACTGTGTCTATCTCCCTGTATATATGGATTCTGTGTGTCCTAGAATATCACAGAATCCCCTGGTAGGAAGGCTCTCCATTGCAGGGTCATTCCCAGAGGCATGTCCCAGTTGTAGCAGTCCATTGCAGACATGGATCGCAGCCTCTCTGGCAAGCAGTTTCCTGCTCTCCAGAAAGTCACTTTTTCCCTCTGTTGTACTGTTTTTTATTTCCAGCCAGGTGAGGGATGTTATATCCGAAGGCTCCTTACGCACGCTGCTCTCGTCAAGACCTCCAGCACTGCATGTGAGTAGTCGCTTCCTGTAGCTCATCAACGTCACTACTTCATTTCCAGCGCAATTGCAGTCCTCTGTGCATTCGAGCCACTTGTGTGGCTCCTCGACACCTCAAGGCCTCACTGCCACCTCAGGCCTCATCTTCCACCTCAGTCTTCCTCGCTGCGAGCTCTGTGCTCTAGACCAGCGGTGCTCCGACTCTCACTTGCCTGCAGCTGGGGCTGCGCCCATTGCTTCACTCGCTACACCCCGGCCACCCAGGAGATTTCTCCGCACTTGATATACACTGCATGGCTCTCTGTAGCATCACCTCCCAGCGTCTCGTGCCCATGCTTGTTTGTTTGTTTGTGAGTCTCGTTTATAGTCCTTGAGGGCAAGGACTTATGTAGATGTTAAGTACAGTAGTCTGACAGTCGGCGTGTTGTGGCTAGCAGTAATAGAAATGGAGACATTAGCTATCCGGGTGGCTAGCTGGGTACCAAGTCATAAGTTAAGGTTCACGAGAAGCAGGAATGCAGGAGTGCAGGGATGTTATGTAACAGTGGGTATGTGGCAGATGTGCTGATGGTGGCCCTGGTAGATGAGTGCTAGAGGCGGGGATCTAAACCCTCGTAAGGGAAGCTGGCCAGTAGTCCTCCACCAGCCGTCAAAACTCCCCCCACCTCTGGGTAGAGTCTGCCTGTCTTCGTGTCTAATAGGGTATGTATAGCATCGTGGAGTATGGACAAGAGGAATTTGAGGTATCCGGGATTCGTGGCATGCCCTGGGCGTGCCGCTGTGTGCTCATGTCAGTTTGGGTGCTTCGGGATGTGTAATTTACTTCACTTTGCGTGTCAAGTCCATTCTTCCAAACGTGTCTTCAAATCTGCCTGTCGCGTGTATGTATTGGAACAGTGCCTTGAAGGCCTTCGGGTTCGTCAGGAGGGTCCTTATGGAGTGCGCCGCACAACCTATTTCTTGTTGCAACCTCGCTCTTGGGGCCTGGTAACTCGGACATTCCAGGAGGTAGTATCAAACTGTCTCCGGTGCCCATGCTTTATGTACGAGGGTGGACGAGGGCGGTGGACCGGCAGTGTCACCGGAGAGCGAGGACGTGCATGGGACGTGTCGTGGACATCCCGGGGATGTTCAATTTATACTAGCTTGTCAAACATAGACAGGTATGTCTGCGTACAACCTGGAGAGAGCCTCTAGGCAAACGTCACCCGCTGGAAAAGTGCACAGCATCCGAGAAAGGAAGTGGCGGGGCCGTCTCTTACCTGCCCCAACTCGCGCTCAAGACGCCACTCGTAGGCCTTCCCCGACATTCTTAAATCTCGTTTACATCAACGACGTCATTGAAGCATCACGGACAACAAGCTCCTAGTGAGCTGAGAATGTCGTCTTGCGACGTCGAAGACAGATGTGCTATCTGGGCATGACCTCGTCGAGAGCGTCGAAAACGCATGTACCGGGAGCACGAGCGATGGGAATACCAACCGGGGAAGCTCTGCTGAGATTTATATCAGACGCAGCTACAGCGTAACGATTTGTGTCTAGTCTGCACCGAGGAAGCTACATCGTGCACGGATACTAGCAACTTCGACCGTCGTCGCAACACACGCAGCGATGGCATCCGTCATTTTACGAGTCTACTGGAGGTGATGCTGGGGATGACCTTGCGGTTTGCGTCGAGTGAGAAGAGGGTGCATTCTGCAGGGTTGCTCTTCGTGGGCTGAAGCGAGTCGTGTTGCACGGTCGGATGGTGCTGTAGATAAAGTGCCTACGCACGTATTTGCGCGAGGAGCTCGTCTCTGCATTGGGAGTTCCGAGGCCTATGGATACAATGTACCCTGCAGACCGTGAATCTTGAACCGACGTCAAGTTGCAGAAAGGTGAGAGGAGTTGCACAGAGAAACGCATGCCAGTAGGAAAGAAGCTGGGAGTTGTGGGGGATGTGATGGGTTGTACAGGCATGGGGTGTGGGGACCACTTGTAGCCTACCAGACTCAAAGCTGATAGATTTCAACCATCACGGGAGTCCTAGAATAAGGGAAACAGTCAGTTGATGTGATACATAAGTGTAGATACAGTCCGCAATGGGGATAGACAACTTACAGAAGGCGGCCACTGGCATCGAGGGCTGGAAGCCTTGACGAGAGCAGGGTGCGCCAGGTGCCTTCGGATATGACGTTCAGCACGTCGGACCTCTCTAAATCGCAATGAAAGAGAAACGTGACTTTTCGGAGAGCAGGAAATTGACGGCTGGAGAGGACGCGGTCCATCTGTGCAAAAGAGTCGTTGTCGATGCTATTCAATTCATCCTGGACAATGTCCAGTGTCCCATCCTTGAATAGGGTTGCCCACGACTTGATGGTAAGCTCAACTAGGTTGGGCAAAGATGTGCGAGACAGGAAACCGGCTGCCTGGGGAATGTCTTTGAGATAGCCATCGAGGACCAAAACACGCAAGTTGACAGTGGGCGTCAGATCGATTGAAGGGGCTGGGGAATATCGTCAGCAGATACTGGATGATGTCACCTCCACCACGTACCGTCGGAAGAATACCCAACCTGGAGGGACAAGAGCGACTCGGCGGTCACAGCGAACAGCTCCGGCAGCTTCTTCCAGTCGGTTCCATAGCAGGTGAGATGCCGAATGTGGGCGCCGATCGACGCAAGGAAGTCAAACACGTCATCGCTGTGGTCCAGATCGGCGGCGTCGAGTCGGAGGGTGCCTGGCACTCGCACCGCACCTGTGACATGGCAGCCATGCTTGAATTGCACTCCAATGCACTCGAGGAAGGAGAGGCGGGGGAGCGCACGCATAAGTCGCCCAAACACAACCGCAGACGGGAAGATCACCTCAAAGAGTTGGAGCCTGGTCACCGACCCAAATGTGAGAGTGATATGAAGGAAAGCCTGGGCATGCAGTTGCCCACTCTCCCAGTTCCAACACCAGAGTCTGAGAAATTCGACTCGGGGCAGCTTCTGCACCATGCGCACAGCAAATGACCCAAAGGGGCCAATCGACTGGTCTTCAATACCGATCCAGACTGTTTTGATCGCACTGCATCGGTCGGGGTGCTCGACCAGTGAATTTATCAGGCGATACACCTCCCTCCTATCCATGTACCACATATAGAGTCTTTCATAATGGTGGAAGCGACATCGGGCATACCATCCACGACACACCTGGCCAAGTTGTCGCATGTCGTAGTCGTCCCTATCGCCGTAATCGTCATCCGCGAAGAAATCGATTATGTGCTCCCATAATTCTATCGGAAGTTGTCTCGAAACCAAGGGGCAAATGTCCCATAGTTGGCTAACCATCCGCTCGGTGATGGATACGTCCCAGCACGATCGTTGCACATTCTGCTCTGCACTCCACTCAACAAACCTACACACAGCAGAGGGGAGGCTACTCACCTGCTCCAACTGTAGCAATGTCCTCCAACTCGTCTCTTTCTGCCACGGAATGGAGATCTTCTGGGCTGTACGCTATAGCGACGTCCATAGGGAGGGTGGCCATGA